GTAATGCAGCACAGCTGGGAAGGTGGCCAACTTCATCTCCCAGTCTGTTTTCAAGCCAGGTTTTCTTCCTTGAAGCGCCTAAATTCAGTATTACTTTTGGCTTCTTGATTGTGGATATTTTTTTCCCCCTCCCAGAAGAACATTGTGTGCAAGGAGAACTTAATGGCATCATACCCGGCCATGTTGTACCCTAACTTAGCAATAAAAGAGGGCATTCTGCCAAATTGCCACAGTGACATTCAGTTCCTGGACAGGAAGGTGTGACCAAACAGTGGAGCTATGAGGCGCAAGGATTCTCTTACCGGAGGAATCCCAAATTCAGAGTTACCTTGTTTTGGTTTTTTTCAAAAATTCCATATCAGTCGCATTCTTTTCCACCAGACACTCTCTGTAAAACAGAACATAGAATCATAGAATTGGAAGGGACCTTGGAGGTCTTCTGTTCCAACCTGCTGCTCCAGGAGGAGAACCTATGCCAGTGGTGGCTAACCTTTTTGGGCTCCTGTGTCAAAAATGGCGCACGTGCTTATGCCTGCCAGCACCCAGAAGGCAATGCGCGCGGGGCCCCCGCCCCTGCACATGTGCGCGTTATTTCCCCCCCCCCCCGCCACCAAGTTACCTGCACTGCGCCTCTCCGCTGATATTCGGCCCATTTGAGGCCTTTTTCGGCCTGTTAGTGGCTTGAGGGAAGCCTCTGCAGGCTTTGCAGGCCGAAAAATGAGCCTGTTTTATCATAGGTTTGCCATCATGGCTCTATGCCATTTCAGACAATTGATTGTCCAGTCTCTCACCGCTGTTGTCATCAAAGCAATAGCTGAAGGAAAAGAGAGAAAGAGAAGATGAGCGTTCCTAACCAAGAAGTCTTCACGCAGCCTCCGAGTTCACTCTGCCATCAATTTGGGAAGGGCTTTGAGTAAAATAGAGCTGGAAGGGGCCCTGGAGGTCTTCTAGTCCAGCCCCCTGCTCGAGCAGGAGAAACCTAGAATATTTCTGATAGGTGACTGTTTACTTTCTTAAAAACCTCCAGAGATGGAGCGCCCACGATTTCTGGAGGCAAGCTGTTCCACTGGTTAATTGTCCTCCCTGTTCGGAAGTTTCTCCTTAATTCCAGGTTGCTTCCCTCCTTGATTAGTTTCCATCCGTTGTTTCTTGTCTTAGCTTTTTGGTCCTTTGGAAAATAGTTTGACCCCTTCATCTTGGGAGGAGCCACTCAAAAATTGTAAGGCTGCTATCGTGTCTCCCCCAGTCCTTCTTTTCATTAGACTAATCCAATTCCTGTAACCAGTCTTTGTACATTTTAGCCTCCGGCCCCCTAAATTAAGATGCTCTTAATTAATGGAGGAGATAGAAGGGTTGTGAGAGTGTTCTAGGAAATGATACTTATGGGTTGGAGCCACACCACATGTTGGACTTTGTTGAAAGAGAGTAAATTGGGAGTGCCTGTATTGTGGGAATCCATCACTGCTTTAATGCTTTTAGGTTGGCCCAGGTCATCATATTAAGTCTTATTATGATTTATTTATTTGGACACTGCATGTTTTGTTAATGGGTTTATTTTGCTTGAATTCCACCTTTCTTGAGGGATCCTATGAAGATTTGGGTCATCCAAAGGCTGGTTGAGTTCAATTAAGGAGAAACTTCCTAAGAGTGAGGACAATCAACCAGTGGAACAGCATGCCACGAGAAGTTGTGGATGCTCTATCATTGGAGGTTTTTAAGAAGAGACTGGACAACCAATTGTCTGAAATGGTATAGGGTTTCCTGCTTGAGCAGGGGGTTGGACTAGAAGACCTTACAAGGTCCCTTCCAGCTCTATTCTGAAATCTACATATGAATCTTCTTTTTGCTGTAGCTGATTTGGAGAACGGAGATTACAGCAGAAAGGAGATTTAATTTGAACTGGATTTTCCCCTAGTTGCGATATTGAGCAAGGGTTATCCCAGACCCTAATAAAAGTGCCAGATTCACAGGCTGTGAACACACATATTTCTTAACTTCTGCACTGCTGGTATTGTAAACCCATTTGGGGTCATGAACTCTCTAAAAATATGTCTCTCTGATGCTGAACTTCAAGCATTTGTGATACCGAAAGTAAGAATGAGAAGCTGAGAACTCAGAATTTCAAATCAGGAAGTTAAAGGTTTGATAACATGTAGACTTGCTGGGACCAAAACCCCCAGGATGTGTTATTTGAGTTGTGTTGGTTGAGAATTCTGGAGTGGGGAAACCCATAAGAACATAAGCAGTCCTTTCTGGATTGGACCCCTTGTCCATCTAGTCTAGCAGCCTGTTCCTACGGTGGAAAATAGGCTATACAAAAAGAATAGAATGGAATGGAATAAGAATGGAATGGAATAAGACTAGACTAGACTAGACTAGACTAGACTAGACTAGACTAGACTAGACTAGACTAGACTAGACTAGACTAGAATAGAATAGAATAGAATAGAATAGAATAGAATAGAATAGAATAGAATAGAATTCTTTATTGGCCAAGTTGTGATTGGACACACAAGGAATTTGTGTTGGTGTACATAAAAGAAAAGAATCATCAGGTACAACACTTAATGATAGTCATGGGGTACAATAAGCAATCAAATCATACTCGGAAATAGTCAATATAAATCGTTAGGATACAAGCAACGAAGTTACACTCATACAGTCACAAGTGAGAGGGGATGGGTGATAAGGAGTGATGAGAAGATTAATTGTAACAGCAATAGTAGTGCAGACTTTGTAAATAGTTGGACACGAGTCTTGTAGCTGATGGTTTTCACTGCCGTCAAGGCACACAAAAACCCAGCAGTCTGTTTTAGATTGGATATCTTTATCATCTTCTTGCTCAAGCGGGTTTGATGGCCAGTATACTCAGGCCAGCTCCAGAAAACCTGCTGATATCATCACTATCATTAATTTCTTTGACCACCTGGTCTCTCACACCAGGCAAGATGATTTGTACATGCACTGACTAGGGTATAGTCTTGCCTGGAGGCAGCTACTAAATCTGGAAAACGGCTTAACGCTGTAGATTTCCACAGGTCTTCAAACCCCCGTGCTGCATTGGCCACACGAGGGCATTATGAGACATCCAGAACAGTGGGTGGCTTCTGGATGGGTGCAAGTCAATGCCTGGATACCCGAAATCAGCTGGGATTTCTAGCCTTGTACTCTAAAAAAGCAGAGAACATATGGACTTCTAGAGGCCACCAAACGCCGTAGCTCCCAGGTTCTAAAAAGCATGGCTAAGCTGGGAGAAAAAGGGACATGATGGCTCAGTGGCTAAGACGCTGAGCTTGTCGATCAGAAAGGTCAGCAGTTTGGTGGTTCGAATCCCTAGCGCCGCGTAATGGAGTGAGCTCCCGTTCCTTGTCCCAGCTTCTGCCAACCTAGCAGTTCGAAAGCATGTAAAAAAAATGCAAGTAGAAAAATAGGGACCCCTTTGGTGGGAAGGGAACAGCGTTCTGTGCACCTTCAGTGTTTAGTCATGCCGGCCACATGACCACGGAGATGTCTTCACTTTGTAACGGAGATGAGCACAGCCCCCTAGCACATATATGCGAGGAGAAGCTTTACCTGGGAGTTATAGTACAATTCCATCTGCAAATCCACTGTTTCTTTTGTCCTAGCGTAACCTGTACTTCTGGTGGCCTTACAATATCCAAATATGAGGGGCTCCCAGGTCCAGGGTTCCCCGGTGATTCCTCTTACTTGGACGAGGTGGTTGTTTTTCTTCTCTTGTTCCAAGCATTGGGGAATAACCTGGTTGGGAGAAAATGGGAACATCCTGACTTAACCTTTGGGCTAGTAGATGGAATGTGTTGTGTTCCTGGGAAATCTTTGCTGAGCTTAGAGATCTGGGCCGCAGCTTTGTCAACGGCTGCGTCAAGGAAAGGCGATGAGATAAGGGATGAGGTTGGGCTGAATCAGCTTTCCTGACAGGCACTTTAAACCCAGGCCAGGGTTGATGTCAATGTCTTGGCTAGAGAAGACAAGGGGAAGACGAACATTGAGCCAATAAAGTATTGCAACATAGCGGAGGTTTCTTCCCTCGTCTTCCAATCTTGTCTTTGCTGTTTCAGACTTCCACCGCTAATAAGTTCTGGATTTCAGGAATCTCATACATTTCCCATCTGAATGACTGCCACATTGTCCAGTTCTTGTGGCTCGGACCCAGTGGTGGGATTCAAATAATTTAACAACCGGTTCTCTGCCCTAATTATTTCTTCCAACAACAGGTTCGCCAAACTGCTCAGAAAGTTGAACTGGTGCGAACTGGTTGAATCCCACCACTGCTTGGACCTCATCTATCTCAGTCATTCTCAATTATTTATTTTTTAAATCAGCTAAGGGGGAACCTTGGGTGAAAAGGAAGCTTTCTGATGCTTGGCCAAGAATGATTTTAACTGTCCCTTCTTTTATCTGTTATTTCCCCATCTTAAACAAGCAATGTTATCGTTTCATTTTCTGCTTTTCCTGGAGAAGAGTTAATGTACATGTGGAAGGATCAGAATTAGGGGGTGTTTTGGGATTGTGTATGTGCGTGTATGTTAATGTGTTAATAACTGACTAATCCTAAGGAAAGGAAAGGGAGATGAAAGATCAACCATCTTATCTCCAGATGGCCTCAACCAGGCCTGAAACAGGATTATTATGTAATTTATGCGTGACACACCTGAAAACAGGTAGAGAGTGGATTGCACCATCCCAGCTGCAGTCAGATCGATCATGTCTTTTTTTTATCATGCTAAGGGGACACGTCAATCTCTAGAGATGTCTTGAGTGGCCCTCAAGTTTCTCCCCTCAACCGTGATAATTTCTCCCTTGTTGAAAAAGCCTTGTTGGTCTTTGCAGGACACATTCATAGGGATTGGAAATCCAATGTTAGAAAAACCATGTTTGATCCTGCACAAACTGGATCTCATGCCTCCTGTAACCAACCCTCAGCTCTTAAATACTTTCGATATCGAGGCATGTATGGTTGCTAAACAATTCAGAGTATCTTTCTGTTCAGTGGTTCACTGAATAGGGCAGGTGTGAGACCTCATTCTCTTTTCAATTTGCTCACCTCTTCTCTCTCTCTCTCTCTCTCTCTCTCTCTCTCTCTCTCTCTCTCTCTCTCTCTCTCTCTCCATCTCTGTCTCTGTCTCTGTCTCTCTCTCCCCCCTCTCTTTCTCTCTCTCCCTCTCTGTCATTTTTCTCTGTGTGTGTCTCTCTCTCTTTTTCTCTCTCTCTTTTTCTCTCTCTCCCTCTCCCTCTCTCTTTTTCTCCCTCTCTCTTTCTCTCTCTCGCTCCCTCTCCCTATCTCTCTTTCTCCCCCCTCTCCTTCTCCGTCTTTCTCTCTGTGTGTTTGTGTCTCTCTAAGTGCCTCTCTCTCTCTCTGTTTTTCTCTCTGTCTCTCTCCCTCCCCCCTTTTTCTCTCTCTCTCCCTCTCTCTCTTTTCTGTCTCTCTGTGTGTGCCTTTCTGTGTGTATGTCTCTCTTTGTGTGTCTGTCTGTCTGTCTTTGTCTCCCTCTGCCCCCCTCCCCCTCCCTCTCTCTCTCTCTCTCCCTCTCTGTCTTTCTGTCTGTGTGTCTTTCTCCCTCTCTCCCCCTCCCTCTTTCTCTCTCTCTCTCTGTCTCTCTGCCTCTGTCTACCTCTGCCTCTCTCTTTCTCTCCCTCTCTCTCCCTCTCTCTCTTTCTCCCTCCCTCTTTCTCTCTCTCCCTCTTTGTATTTCTCTCCCTCCCTCCCTCCCTCCCTCTCTTTCGCAACCGAGATGGAATATGTTATTACAAAGAAACCAAAATACCAGCTTCTCTAGATGCTCCGTGCTCAGCCTGGAAACAAAACAGCCTGCAATCCAAGAGAGGCATAATTAAATCGCCCTGCTTGAGCCGCTGTGTTGATCGTATAGATTGAGTCTCTTGTCTGCCGGTACGACGGACGCCAAGTGACAATTTGAGCTTTCTTTGATGAAAGCAGCGCATCTGTTTTAGCCAAGAATATCCCACAATTAGAACGATCGCCTGGTGGACTGTAAATGATTTCACACAGGGCTGCATAACATTTTTTGAGAGCCCAAACTAAAGACTGCATTATTTTAGCGTAGGTTTTGTGACCTGGGGACCCAGCAAATTACAGGCAGTCCTGAATTTACAATTTCTGTTGCTAAGCGAGAAAGACAATAAGTGAGTGTTGTCCCATTTTATGACCTTTCTCGCCACAGTTGTTAAGTGAATCACTGCAACTGTTAAATCAGTAACTCGGTTGTTAAGCAAATCTGGCTTCCCCAATTGTCAGAAGATCGCAAAAGGGGATCAATTGTCATAAATACGAGTCAGTTGCCAAGCATCTGAATTTTGATCATATGGAAAATGGTCATAAGTCATTTTTTCAGTGCCATTGTCACTTTAAATAGTCACTAAATGAATGGTTATAAGTCAAGGACTACCTGTAGATGAAACCACATTTTTCCCCCAGAAGTCTTATTGTGTGCTATTTCAAGCATCAGGAACATACCTGAGCTTAACTTATCTTAATTATCTTTGTTTCGTTTCACATATTGTTGCACTTCATTAAATGAAATAAATAATAGCGATAGCAAACAGGTCCTTCCAGTGAACTAAAAATAATAATAATACTCGTATCAGATTAACCTTTTGTACTGATAAACCACATGATCGTCATTAAGAAGATTATAAAGGTAGATAACATTAAAACTACAAACAAGAAAGGAAGAGGAAATGGAAAGCCAATGACTGGAAATCACCCAGCTGTTGAAAGTCAGGTGGCATATAATTTATTATTATTATTATTTAGTAAACAAAATCATTTCTGAGAATTTGACCAGATTGAATTTAATGGAATTTGACAGAATAATAGAATTGGAAAGGACCTTGGAGGTCTTCTAGTCCAACCCCCTACATTAACAGGAGACCCTAGATCACTGGTGAAATAATTTTCTTGTCCTAGTGAAAGAAAGAAAGAAAGAAAGAAAGAAAGAAAGAAAAGAGAGGGAGGGAGGGAAGGAGGGAAAGAATGAAAGAGGAAGGAAGGAAGCAGGGAAGGGAGAGAGAGAAAGGAAGGAAAGGAAGGAAGAAATTCTAAAATTAAAAAAAATCTGAACTGTTATTATTTTGTTATTATTTTGTTATTATTTGTTATTACATTAAAGAAGAAAGAAAGAAAGAAAGAAAGAAAGAAAGAAAGAAAGAAAGAAAGAAAGAAAGAGGAAGGGAGGAAGGAAAGGCAGGTAGGAAGGAAGGAAGGAAAGAAAAGAAAAAAAGAAAGAAAAGAAAAAGAAAAAGAAAAAGAAAAAGAAAAAGAAAAAGAAAAAGAAAAGAAAAGAAAAGAAAAGAAAAGAAAGAAAGAAAGAAAGAAAGAAAGAAAGAAAGAAAGAAAGAAAGAAAGAAAGAAAGAAAGAAAGGCAATGAGGGAAGCTGAATTTGCTTAGTGGCCACATGATTCATTGAACAACTGAACTGTTTCACTTAACAACCTGGACCAAAAACACACAATCAGGCCTGACTCAATTAACAAACGCCTCGCTCAACAATGAATTGTGGTCCTTCTTGTGGGTCACATCTTAAGGACTGCCTGCATTCTGGAATCAACAGCTGTGCCCATAGGCTTAACATGGGTCCAAGGGTGGAATTAGAAAGAAGAGGCTTGTCTTAGAGGCCTCTTCACCGGAAGCTTCTAGCTGGGGTCTCTGCTAAACCCAGCCTCTCTTCTTGCTCCTACAGACAGTCTCTTGCCCAATGAATGCAATAACCGAGGACATTTACACCAACGGCTCAGCCAAGAACGGTAGCCTCGCCCATGCCAACGGCCAGGAGATGCGGAAGATACGTCTAATCCAGTTTGAGAAGATCACGGAGGAGCCCATGGTGAGCTGGTGGGAAAAGATGGGGCGGGGGAAAGACTTAATGTGGGACATTTCAGCTGCTGGGAAAAATCACTGCCTTGAACTAGTGATAACGATTTATCCTTTTTAGATACCTTTGGCCTGGATGATTGAGTCTTAAGTGAGCCGTGGTGGCGCAGTGGTTAGAGTGCAGTACTGCAGGCTTCTTTCTATTCTACTTCTATTCTATTCTATTCCTAATTCTGTTCTAGTCTGCTATTGTATTCTATTCTATTTTCTATTCTATTTTCTGTTCCCTGTTCTGTTCTCTTACTATTGTATTCTATTCTATTTTCTGTTCTGTTCTATTCTCTCTTCTCTTTCTCTTCTCTTCCTCTTTTCCCTTCTCATTCTATGCTGTGCTGTGCTGTTCCGTTCCGTTCCGTCCCGTCCCATCCCATCCCATCCCATCCCATCCCATCCCATCCCATTCCATTCCATTCCATTCCATTCTATTCTATTCTATTCTATTCTATTCTATTCTATTCCATTCCATTCCATTCCATTCTAAACTCCTTGTCTTTTCCAGGGTATCACTCTGAAGCTCAACGAGAAGAAAAGCTGCATGGTGGCCAGGATCCTTCATGGGGGCATGATTCACAGGCAAGGTAAATAGAAGCTGAGCTGGGAAAATGCAGGTAGTCCTTGACTTATAACAGTTCACTTAGAGACCATCTGAAGTTACAATAGCACTGAAAAAAAGTGATTTATGACCGTTTTCCCACCCTTATGACCATTGCGGTATCCCAGTGGTCACGTGATCAAAATCCAGATGGCTGCTCAACTGGTTCATATTTATGACGGTTGCAGCGTCCCAGGGTCACGTTTTGCGACCTTCTGACAAGCGAAGTCAGTGGGGGAACCCGATTCACTTAATGATGGTGTTACTAACTGAACAGCTGCGGGGATTCACTTAAGAAATGTGTCAAGAAAGGTTGGAGAATGGGGCAACATTAGCAAATGTCTCACTTAGCGACCTTACATTTTGGGCTCAATTGGGGGGGGTCGTAAGTCGAGGACTACTTGCACTGTCAGAACCTCCTGCCTTTTGGTCTCTGACCGCCGAATTAATGTTTGACTCCCCTTCCCCCCGTCTTTAGCCGCTGAATCTCGGATCCTGAATTTCCCAAGGGATTCCTTATACAGGTAGTGCTTGAATTACAACCGTTCATTTCAATGACCATTCAAAGTTGCAATGGCACTGAAAAAAAACTACGGATTTATGACCGTTTCTGCAATCCAAATTTCTGCAATCCAAATTTTGATGATGTGGCAGCAGAGATGCTGCGAGGACCGGCTGTTAGTCACATTTGCCAGTGCTGTTGTAACCTTGAATGTTCATTAAACAAATGGTTGTAGTAATAGCACTTATATACCCCTTCACAGTGTTTTTACAGCCCTCTCTAAGCAGTTTACAGAGTCAGCATGTTGCCCCCAACAATTTGGATTCTCATTTTACCCACCTCGGAAGGATGGAAAGCTGAGTCAACCTTGAGCCGGTCAGGATTGAACTGCTGGCAATGGGCAGAATTATCTGCAATACTGCATTCTAACCATTGGGAAGGAAGGAAGGAAGGAAGGAAGGAAGGAAGGAAGGAAGGAAGGAAGGAAGGAA